GAAAACGAATGTTTATCTGGGAGCAGCTGGCAGTAGGGTGGGTGGCTCCCCCCACCTTCCCCAAGCACTTCTTTATGCAATTCCACGACAATTCTCTTATAATTTAGGATCACTTGGTGCCAGGTTGATAAAATATTATCCTAAAAGAATCAGGTTTCCTGAAAAAGAACCCCACACTGTAAACCATGAGTCATTGTTTACAAGGAACACACATTTGATCGGCTTACCACAATGTCTATCTTCAACGCCTAGGTAAATTAGTACAGTACAGTTGTGTATTTATCATCACTTAATAAATACTATTTCAGTGTATTTATCACCACTCACTAATTACAATTGTAGTGTATTTATCATCACTTAATAAGTAATATTGTAGGGTAAAATATTATGCATCTGCATATACTTTTACTTTTATTCTCTTCACCATTGATCGGCTCGTTAGCCGCTTGGGCGATCGGTCACGCTTCTGTCACGCACTGTTGGCAAGTACTAGCCATGGACTAGCTCTCTATTACGCACTGACCCTGGTTTATTCATTAATCATCTGTCTAAGTGTACAGGTAGCCAAACTGAGTCGTCATATAACACCCAAAGGTCTACTGCTCTCACACGAGCGTATCCGAGTAAACAACCCTCTGATACAGCTTATCCTTTTGTTTTCAAGTCACATTACAAATTACATACAGTATTGTATTTTTCTCTATTACTGAAGATGTTATATTAATCATGATGAACCATAAACCATAACAGGCCAATCATATGAGAATATAATACTGAATCAATAAATAAATAAACCTGACTAATGTGGCAACACCTGATCAGCCCCAGCCTGTTTACATACTCAAGTGTCTTAGTTCTCAGTAGGCCTATAGCAAACCTGATTAGACCACTGTACAGTATTTAGTACGTGTTGTTCATTTCATAAGATTTTTTATTAATCTTCCCCATTAACTTTTTTCTGGTGATTAGAGTGTAGGGTTAACGTGATGTAGGATCGCACTAGGATGGAGGTAAGAAGGGAACTCAGCTATGGCGTTATATATATATATATATATATATATATATATATATATATATATATATATATATATATATATATATATATATATATATATATATATATATATATATATATATATATATATATATATACAGTGCGGTGCTAGGGAGTTGCTTGTTGTTGTGCGGTCTTGTAGGTACTGTCTGTGGCCAATTGTCAAATTATCTGTTTGTCTATTTCTCTTTGAATGGGCTCACATATGTACGTATGGAGGTAAGAATAGAAACTCACAATGCGTTTTCTGTATATATATATATATTGTATGTACAGTGCAGTGCTAAGGAGTTGCTGTGTGGTGAGAAGCTTGCTCAGAGGTCCTGTTGGGTGAGGAGCTTGTTGTGGGAGCTGGTTGGTGAGGAGCTTGTTTGGAGGTCTTGCTGGTTCGGGAGAGTTGAGTAGAATGAGTTCCGCAGCGTTGTTGTTGAGATTGTCGGACCGTAGTCCGACACGGGCCTTTGCCTATAGGCGGCCCGTTTGGTGGTTCCGGCTGGAGCTCCTGGAGCAGCCAGACCGGATTGGGATTGGAGGTTGTCCTACCTGCAGATATGGAAGGATACTGCAGGTTGCAAGTGTGAGTGGATCCCCGATCAGTGGACGCTTACCACCAACCCCCACTCTGGACGTGGTCAGTTTCGGAGTGGCGCGCCCCCCTAACTGGGGTCCGCACTTGCTGGGAGAGGATACTTTCTAAGCTATCTGGGTGGTGGGTATCGTGTGATGACCCGGAGAAGGTGTTGAATGTGGTTTGTTTAGGCCTTTCGGGTTAGAGTGGCCGCTGATGTTGTGTGTGCTTCTTGGAGGTTTTGAGTTCTGTTTCGGAGACTTTGTGTGACTTCGCAGTCGAGGAGATAGTGTTTAAGTGGGTTGGCTGCTGGCTCCTGACAGTAGGTGCATTCCATGACGTCATTTCCGATTTTTTGTGACTTTGTGACACCAAATACTAGTCGAGAAGCGGTTGGCAGTCCGATTTATTTATGTAGGACCATTATTTGACTTCATTGCGGCTACATTTGCGTACATTTGGGTACATTTGGGTAATTAGTCGGACCGCTGAAGAGAAGGCTACTCTGAACCTGGAGAATTTAAGTGAAGAGAGCAACCATGACTGGCATCAGTGGATACATCGAACAAGTGGGGGAGTATGGCGCAGACAAGGAGAACTTCACATCATATTGTGAGAGAATGGACGACGGTGGTGATGCTCAGAAGAAGAAGGCCCTTGAAGAGAAAAGGAAAGCAATCTTTTTGACAGAGGTAGGAGCTAATGTTTATTCTACTCTGGTCAATCTGCTCGCTCCAGACAAACCCAAAGACTCCTCACTGATTCAGATTACCAAGATTCTGAAGCAACATTTTGATCCTGCTCCACTTGAGATTGCTGAAAGTTACAAATTTGGCACAAGAGATAGAGGGAAAGATGAATCAGTAAGTAATTATATAGTAGCTTTGAAGAAGTTATCCATTCACTGTAACTTTGGACTGTTCTTGAACCGAGCTCTAAGAGACAGGTTTGTGATAGGTCTGAATTATAAAAAAATACACAATCAGTTAATGAACACCACTAACTTAACTTTTGAAAAAGCATGTCAGACAGCTACAAGCATGGAATTAGCAGAGAAAAACACCAGAGAATTTGCTCCCAATGCTGGTAGTGAAACAGTTGGCAGTAGTGGCTCAGTGTGTAAAGTAACTGTAGCTAAAAGGAAGAATTGTGCCACAAAACATGGAACACATGCTGATTTAAAATGTAAGAGATGCCTAGGGAAACAGGAAAGCTTTCAGTGTAAGTTAAAAAATTCAAGATGTTACAATTGTCAGCGTATTGGACATATTGCTCCTGCCTGTGAGAAAGAAATTACAGCCCCTGCCAGAAGTGATAAAGGTAGAGTACAGTATATGTCATTGAAGGTGATGAGAAGGAAATGAAAAACAGTATTCATGAGAGTGTTAGTAATTTTGAACCTGATAATGATAATAATAATAGTAAACTGTTTATTAATAGAGTTGCAGCCGGTGGCTGAAAATATACAGACTTACATTTGATTTAGACATAATGGTATAATATGCGTTGAATACATTTACAGGGCTGTACAGTACATAAATCAGGAGTTGTTTATTATTTTAACACTAGATGGGATGGTGCTATTCTTATATCTATCGGTGCTGGCTCTTATGGGCTGAATTTGGTTGCATTGGCGGACTGCGCGAGGTGAGTGGGGGGCTGCCGGTGGCAGGAGGTGGCGATGACGAGGGTGGTGCATTAGTTCACTGCCAAACCTTGCCAGTGCTTGGTGATGGAGGTCACTGAGGGATGGCATTTCCAGTGTGGAGAGAGCGTTGATGTAGCCAGAGTATTCTGCGCCGAGCATGATTCTGCAGGCCCTTTTCTGTACCTTCTCTAGCCGACGTTGCTGGGTGGAGTTGAGAGAAGATGACCAGGCTGGTGATGCATACGTTAGTTTGGGGAGAATGAAGGCGTTGTAGATAGTCCTCAGCTCTGGCGTGGGTGTCCCAGGTGACCTAAGTCATCGTAGCATGTAGAGTCGGTACAAGGCTGCCTTGACTGTGTTATTTACATGGGCCTTCCAGCCCAGTTTGTTGTCTATAGTTACACCCAGGAGTTTGGCAGACTGCACTAACTGGAGAGGATGGGCACCCACTGTGACTGCTGGAGCTTGCACTGGAGTGGTGGCGGAATTGATGTGCATGACTACGGTTTTGGTGTGGTTGATGGTGACCTTGTTCTCCGTAGTCCATGCCTGTAGCCTGTCCAGGGTGCCTTGTAGCGATGAGTAGTCTGGTGCGGTGTTGTCCACTGTAACCCCCACAGTGCAGTCATCCACGTACTTCCACCTGTGAGGAGTGTCCGATAGAGCGTTGTTGATCAGGATGAGGAAGCACAGTGGTCCCATCTTGGTCCCCTGGGGAAGACTGCAGGTGAGGTGTTAAAGGTCACCAGATGATGCATGTTTACAACAGTGACATGATCGAGCTGTACAATGTGGGTAAAACAAGTGCTTGGTGAACTACCCTACTAGTATTTTATCCTTGCCCCCAACCACAACTTCTTGGACCCCCCCTCCCCCTTTTGATATTCCTGGATCTGCCCCTGTGTGTGTGTGTGTGTGTAGCTATGTACTGTACACTTGACAGCATCCAGAGTTCAGCATCACACAAGTATAACTTCAGTATAGTACCTGCTACTTTAACGTTTCTTAAGTACATACAGTACTCCTTATTCCACCAACCTTTCCTGTCATTCATCCATCTCTCTCACTTCTGTCCACCACTTCCTCCATCACACAGCTTGCCATAAGTCATAAAAATGAGGTTTAGTTGTAAAAATAATTTATGGCAAAAGTTTCAGTGGTTGGGGTATTTATTTTTATTTCATTATTATTATTATTTTTATTTATTATTATTATTAAAATTCAATTTCTCGACATTAAATGTGTGTTATATAATTGTACAGTGGTATTTCAGTGTGAATAATATATTGATTAAACGCAATAAACGGTATTTAATAAGAATGGCATGCAAACTAATTGGATGTATACTGTATTTAAGTTCAAGTAAAGCTGTCATATTTTATTTGAATTTTCACTATAATTTTTGGTAATATTGGAGGAACCTTTTTTATTTTTTATTTACCCACCAGATTTGCCTGAAGAGAAGTATAGGCAGAAGATTTCCTATGTCAACAATGTCTTGAGAAATGACTGAAGTAGATACAATGTAGTTTTCTCCAACTCTCAAGCGTAGATAACTTTCACCCACTGATTTTTCTCTATTTATATACCACACTTACTGATACTCCTCTGGTGGTAACATCCCAACTTCGTTGAGCCCGTCGGGTGGCTATGTACATAACCCCTATTAATATTACCAGTCTCCTGCGTGGCTATATCACCCCCACTAGTAATGTCTGTCTCTTCTGCAGGTGACAGATGGTTCGTGTCCTGCCTGGGCTGCCTCCATTTGACCAAGGGATTGTTCTACCGAGTCGTGCCCGCAGACCAGGATTTCGACACAGAATCAGGTTACTGTGGGGTCTTCAGGTAAGGGACTGTGTGTCTATTGCTGTGTTAAATTGGGACTATATATTTATGTGTTGCTGTGTTATGGTTTGGGGCTGTATGTGTGTTGCCTTTTCAAGGGATTTTTTTTTTTTTAAGACTTGCCCCATGAGGGTGCTAGTTTATTGGGTACCCTCTCGCATACTTTACAAGGTGAAGTGCATAAACATTTACAGCGCCCAATGGGGAAGCATGCAGAGTTCTTCCTTGCCTTCTTGACTCGTACACTTAGGGCATAAGTAGCTGAAGGGTCATGGATTATATTGGCAAGTTAGATATAGTGACAGGATCAGTGTGTGGGGGAAGAATTCCCAATACAATACATCTGTTTATGCCAAGGCATGACAAGTCAGTAATAAGTTAAGTGCCAGGCCTGTCTGAAGGAGGAGAGATATTTGGTTAGGAGGAAGGGGTGTTGGTTCCAGCTGGGGACTGCTGTGGTAGTATAGGCTGGGTGGAAGAGGGCACATGAGGCATTGACAGTATTATGGGACAAACCTTTTAGTGCGAGTGTGATGACACATACATCGGTAGTTACAGTGATGAGGAGGAGGTCAAGAGGTTGATCTTCCTTACTGATGGGCCAATGGCATAAAGAGCTGGGGGTGATCCCGCAGCCCCTGGTGAAGACGGTCCAGATACAGACGTAGGCATGGCCTGTGTAGGGTGGACAGGTTGAGTCACAGAGAAGACGGTCGGCACGTCGGGGTGCAGAGACGAGTCAGGCTGACGCTCGGGGAGAACAAGGCATGCCGGGACAAGCCAGGAGAGTGCTGCAGGAGCAATGATAGCCGGCAGCAGTGAGGGAGGCTGTGGGTAGGTGGGACTCAAAGAAGGCGCCATACGGCGTTGTTGGTCGTTAATGAGAGCAAGTAGGGATCCAAAGAGATGCTCAACACTGTGTCACATTGCCGGAGGAGAGTTGGCGGGCAATGGGTGGTAGAACTTGGTGTGGCAGCATCAGAGTAGAGATGGGGAGAAGGCCCAGGAGTGTCAGATTGGAGTTGCGGTGGAGGTGGAAGATGACATACTGCAGCAAGTTGAGGCCATGCCAGGGCAAGTGTGGCCTGGGGCAGAGAGGGGAAGGTGGAGGGGTCAGCAGGGCTGGCCTGGCAGATGTCTGAGAGGGAGATGGTGGCTGACATAGATGGTCTTTGGATAATATTACCTGGTTTACAGGTTCCGCGTGTGGTGGTGCGGAGAGTGGAAAGAGGTGCTAGTGGATGACCGCCTTCCTACCGTCAATGGAAAATTGGTTTTCATCCACTCGCAGTCAACCAGCCAGTTTTGGCCAGCTCTTCTGGAAAAGGCTTATGCAAAGTAAGTTTTGTTCAATTTATGCTTCTGTTCTGCATTTTTCATCTTGTCATTTTAATATTCTTAAAACTTCAGTATTGAGAATTGTTCACATGTTGAGCCAGTGGTGCATTATGAGCCTGTGGATATTTGGTTCTTCCTTATATAAAATAGCTCATATACAGTACAAAATTGTTATATATAAACTAGGTTACCCCATATTTACTTGTAATTCGTATTTGATTATAGTTAGTATTTAACTTTTCATTATTAGTGATTGATTGATTAGTGTGTATTACTAATTGGTTGATGTGGAATTTATGTGAATATGTTCTATTATGTTTTCTGTTAGTTGTGTGATGGAGAGCCACTTTGCTGCGCATGTTGTGTCTATTTTGTTTTTATGTTGGGTTCGCAAAATATATTAGAAAGAGCAACAACGCTTGTGTCATTGTCTGAGCGTCTCGTATCATATTTTGTTGTTATCCACCAAAATGAACACTGTAATATCAACAAAAATAAGTATTTCGACCCAGCTGTCTGGCTTCATTGGAAGGGAGAGGTCGCTGATGTGGTGGAATAAGGTCTCCTTCCACTTCTGAACAAACAGCCACCCCTATTACTTCTTGAATTGTTTCCTCCTCCAGTTTCCTCGAGGTTGATAACTGAACCTAGCAGCTGGTCCTGTTCCCCTGCTAGGCCCTCCTCTTTTAAATTTCCGAAAGGTCTTAGAACTCCTGGCAACAGTAAAATGAATAGCTTGCTCAACAGCTGATCTATACTTTGTTCATCAAACAAAGCAGAGAGAAAGAGGAGAAGAACATAGCAATAAATAAGCACTACCACTTGAAGCATTATTAGTGGCTTGATTCCTTAGCTGGGCTTTTACTTTTAGGGCTTTCAACAACATTTAAAAAAATGAGTTGTACAGGGAATATGGAATCCTTTGTATAGCAGCAGCAAAACATCTGTCTACTTCTGAACTGTCCTCGTAGTCCAGCACAAACTTAGTCAATAACTGACACATCATGATTGCAGACTAAATATCCACTGCCAATTTCCTAAATTTGAACTCTTCAAGCAACAGTGCTGAAGCAACTGGTTTCAAATTTATTTCATAACTTATGTCAGCATATTTTGGAGCCGACAAATACTGGGAAAGTTCATACTGTATAAGGAACTCTTTTTGTCGTTAAATTGGAACTTCAAAAAAACTAAACTTGTGAGCATTCCTATCTGTGGGAATGAATGTTAAGTCTTTCAATATATTAGCCCAGACTTCATCTATTTCAGAGATCATTTTTGGGCACATATTGGTCATTCTGAAATTTAGTTAACTTATTGATAATATATAGTGCAGTGCAGTGTTGATTTAAATAAAATAATCTTGAATTACAACTATTGAACTTAAGATTTTATTGGTGAAATGACGGCATCATGTGATTACTCTACTATGGGTATGACTTAACAGAGCCTTAATTATTCAAGTGATACATTTACTGCCAGCCTGGATTGCTCATGTTGTAACCAGGCTTCCGCACAAGAACTTCTTTCCACGGGGAATAACAACAAAAAGGTATTCTTGGGTTACCACACATAGTCTCGCGTCACTGACAGTCACTGTAGACGGTTGTCGCGGCAAGGAGAACTGGTAAGCATGACTTGGATTAACCACTTAGGTGCAATAGACCAGCCTGGATTGCTTTTGTCGCAGCCAGGCTTCCACACGTGATATTTCCACGGGGATACAAACCTAGGTTAACACACTTAATCTCGTGTCGATCACGGTCACTGTAGACGGGTGTTGTGCAGGAGAACTCTGTAAGCGTGAATTGATTAACCATTTACTGTAGGTTTGATAGGCCAGCCTGGATTGCTCTTGTCGCAACCAGGCATCCACACGTGATATTTCCACGGGGATAACAACCTAGGTTAACACACTTAGTCTCGTGTCGACGACGGTCCACAGGACGGAGTGGCGGTGGAGGACTCTGTGTGTGTGGTCCCGTTCCCTTTCAGGAGGGAGAGGATGGGGACGACGTCTTAACTAACCCATGGCTCAGGGGATACTACTTAAAATGAGGTTTTTGGGTGTGAAGCGATGAACAGTACAACACTGTTCACTGCCCACCCCCCTAAAGGCTGGCTAACATACACTAATTGAAAAATACATGTCCCAGTTATGCCTCGCCGGGCGTCTTATCTCTAGTAAAACAAACTTTGGAGTTGGTTGCGTGGGTAAGCCTAACGCAACCCATGACATATATATATATATATATATATATATATATATATATATATATATATATATATATATATATATATATATATATATATATATATATATATATATATATATATTTTCAGTGAAGACAACCCCGGAAGGGCAAAAAACAAAGTCATTCACTAAGTGACTTTAAAGCAGAGGATATTAGTCACTAAAGATCGACTGTCTTCCTTGATAGAAGATGAGCCGCGGTCGCCATTCTTGACCAGACCGTATAAAAATTGCCCCAAGCACAATATCTGAGAGACATAATCAAAATAAAAGTCACTCGATTTCCTCACCGTGCCAAGATGTATAAATACCAAAAATAAAATCTTCGTGGCACTTAGTATTTCAGCTATTACAATACAAATTAGTGGAGCTTTCCTTGTGCGTGTTTAAAGCTGATTCGCCAGGCAAGACGATAACGGTAGCAATGCGTGTGATGGAGGGTGCGGGAGGGGGTTTGGAGAATTGCAATTAAATGCCAAGTAGCGACTTGTCCTTCTAATATTACTTATTAAGTAATTATTAGATGTTTTAATTGCCTGTATGTTGGCCTGGCGAGTTAATGCTAGGCATTTATATACATAGGTATAAAGCTAGACGTCGCATTCTGGACTTTTCACAAAAACTGGTTGTTATTAAAAACTGCTTTTCCTTACATAAATTTACACGATTATTTTTTCTTGCAATGAATCACTTGTGCTGTATAATTATTTTGCCTTATATAAAATGTCACATACAGTATTTAAATCATTTCATCATACAGAAATTGCACATGTATGGTACAGGTTTTTATTCTTCTGGTAAACACCCAGTCCTCGCTTAATGTCGTGGTTAAGTTCTTGTAAAACACAATGTTAATGGAAACAACATTATTGGAATAAATTTTCCCCATAAGAAATAGATAAAATACTCTAATTACGTTCCCCAGCCTTCCTTTGCCCCATAAAATACATTACATGTACCCTGTACATAAATTCAATGGATTTTTTTTAGAAAATATATATTATACATCCATAAAGATAAATAAACTAAATTAATTTTAATTTATAAGATAATACAATCATTTTGTATTGTACTGACTGATGGGCAGAGGTGGAGCGAGTGTGTGGTGGGTAGTGGAGAGGAGGAGGGTGGCGAATCACTGAGACCCGGAAGGGGGCTCCCCTTCCCACTCTGACTGAGGTTACCCCTTGGCTGCTGTTCGCTCTTCCTCACTAGCATCACTGACTTGATTGGCGCTTGGGAGCCATTTCAAATGGTTACACTACAGTATTTATGGCAAAAACACTTAAGCACGCACGTACGCTGTGGAAGCTTAACAAAGACTGGGGAGAAAACGCTTGGGGACGCTGTGACGCTCCGTGAGAGAGCGTAGCGCGCCAAGATGAGAGAGGGTGGCGCGCCATACAGAGTAGTGCGTGTTGGGTGACAATGTTATAACGAATCGGTCAGGCCGTAAAACAAAGTTGTCGGAATCATGGGTATCTAACGAGTAGCAACGCTATAAGGAAACAACGTGTCTGGGACAACGTTTAGCGAGGACTGGGTGTATATTGGGATGTCAGTGGTACAGTGCCAATTTGCTTGCCTCTCACTACTGTGTTCCTGGGTCAGATATAAAAAGGGTGCTATTCAGTGTCACCATACCAAACATCACAGGTTTTCTCTGGGTACAGTACTCCAGTTTACTCTGGTACTAACACTGGATAGTGAAGGTCGTACCAGAGAACAGACCGACTGCCCAACCAGTTGGGAAACTGACAAGTGGTGAAGATTATAAAAAAAATATAAATAAATAAATAGAAAATCCATCATAAATTTTTCTTATCTTTTTCCATTAAATTTTATCCAAGAAAACTTATTGCAATTAATGTATTTCAGGATCCATGGCTCATATGAAGCTCTGAAGTATGGAACATCCCTTGATGGTCTGTCAGATTTTACTGGTGGGATCGCAGAGTCGGTGAGCCTGCGAGCAGACCCAACCACGTGTGGCCGCCTCCTAGCGAAATTGCTTGACCTGACCTCCATAGTTACGGCTGTTGTGACGGCTCACACACACACAAAAATGCACTCGGAAAAACTTGCCAGCGGCATTGTTATGGGTATCAACTACAGAATCTACACCATTGAGAAGGTACATTGATCTGTTGACACTTTACTTTTCTCTATTTTCTTCATCACTGATGAGCCTGTTAGCCACTTGGGCAGGCAGTCACACCTCTTTTGCACTGGTGGCACATACTGGGCATGTACTGACTCTGGAATGTATCTAAATCTGTGCCGGGGTTGGTTAAGTCTGGTCTTGAATGACCTCACACTCTGTGCCATTACAATATTCTCTGGCAGATTGTTCCAAGAGTTCACAACTCTCATTCCAAAAGAGCTGTGACTTCCTGTTCATCTACTTGTGCATTATATTTTTATATTTTGTATTGCAGTCTTTGTTCAAATTTGTATTGTAGAAGGTTTTTCTCTTGTGCACAAGCCTTATTTTTAAACCATTTCAGTTTTATCTGGATTTGTTACTTAGTGTTTTACTGACTGTCAGCAGCTTCTTGATCACTGAGGAATTAATGTTACCTCATTAATTTATTACATCGCATACTTGCCATTATCCACTCACCAACATCTCTGCCTAGCGGTAAAAAATTCTTTAGCTCTGCTCAAATATAGCACAGCAGTGCTGTAGTTGTTGAGTGTAGAAGTGACAGTGTTGTGATTATGACAGTGCACAGTACATTAATTTAAACAAAATGATTATTGACTGTCCCATGTGTGTTGTGTGTAGGTGGAGCGCTACAGTGGGGAGCAAGTGACGCTGGTGAGGTTAAGGACTCCTCTTGGAACAAATGTCGAATACCTTGGGGCCTGGGGCAGAACGGCACCAGAGTGGGATGAGGTCCCACCTCATGAGAAGGAGAGACTTAACCTAAAATACATGCCTGATGGAGAGTTTTGGTGAGGATTTAAAAGTTTCTTGAAAATATTACTGCCATAATGTTTTCTTTTTAAGATTATTTATCAATATTATGTTAACTGTGACACCAAGTTATTGAGGGTAATAATCTCATTATATCTTGCAGGATGGCGTACAGTGATTTTGTACGGACATTTTCACAACTTGAGGTAATCCACTTAGATGGGGAAACATCTAGGGATGAGCCTTCCCTCAGGCACAAAACTCCCTGGACGTCTCGAGTATATCAGGGGGCATGGCAGAGAGGTGTTACAGCAGGCGGCTGCAGGAACAACCCAGGTGAGGCATGGCCCACATCCTAACTCTGTAGCTGTGAGCAAACACTTGAATTTTCTGGAACATCTATTATTACAATATGTGGATATACCTGGTATTGATTTAAGACTTTTAATCCTTATTTGGTAAATAAGATTTTGCATGTACTATACAGTAATGCATCATAACATTGGTGAGATTAACGAGTCCTCTTGTTTGGACAGATACCTTCCACATCAATCCACAGCTGCATCTAATCCTGAGTGACATGGAGGAGGTGGTTATCTCCCTTAACCAACACTCGGTCATGGAACCTAAGGTAAAGTTCCACTATAGCTTCATCTCGATTCAGTAGAATTGAGTCTTTAGAAGGATTAGGAAAAACAATTTAATCAGTACTGTATATTTTTTACTTAGTTTATATGATAGTGAAACTTTACAAATTCAAACTCAATGTGTGTGAGCTCATTATTCAAATTAAAGGAGTGAACTTTTTGCATGTGAAGAGCCATCAGATTCATCCTGTGAGATTGTGAGTTGGAGTGTCATCGTACGATATGTTTTCCCATGTGTGGAGGCGGGAGCTTGTCTGTGGCAGCGCCGGGTTGCCAGTCACTGTCTGACGCTGCAAGAGTAAAGTCTCCAAAGAACCTGGTCTGTTATTCAAACCTCTCACACATCCAGGTTCTCACATCCTGCCAATTTATTATCACATCTCAGATCCAGTCAATAATCTCTTCTCATCAGTCATAAAATGAGATCATGTTGTTCAGTGTGTGTTCTTTTACTTTTATCCTCTTTGCCACTGATCGGCTTGTTAGCCGCTTGGGTGTTTGGTCATGTCTCTATTACGCACTACTGGCAAGTATTGAGCAGGCACTGGCTCCTGAATGTATCTGAACCCGCTCCAGTGTTGGTCAAGTCTGGTCTTGAAACATTTCAAACTCGGTGCCGTCACAACACTCTCTGGCAGGTTGTTCCAAGAGTTCTCAATTCTACTCCAAAAAAGTTACTCTCTCACAGTTTCTGGATTTGCAGCTTCTTTACCCTTGAGCTGTGACCCCTTGTGGGGCAGGTGTCTGTCAGCTACAGGTATGAACACTCAACTGAGTAGTTCCCTTTGAGATGTTTATACACCTCAATTAGGTCTTCCCTTACCCATCTGTAGTATAAGCTAGGCATTTGCAGGCATTCTATCTCTCTCGATAGCTGAGGTGCCGAAGTGCAGGCACCAGTCTGGTGGCCCCCTTTGAACACTTTCAATCAACTGACAGTCCCTAGCATATCTTGGGGACCAGACGGGGAAGCACCTCGCTCTTGAAGATCGTTACGAGGGACGGACCATCTAGATATCTGAACAACTTTCTTATAAGACCTAATAATTTATTTGCTTGATTCATGTAAATGCGATGTTCAGTACAGTACTCCTTTTCATGACCCATAAGATTGGAATCTTTATCACTTGCAATTACTGTAGTCTGTCAGATATGTTCTCTAATCTAATCCATTTTCAACTTTTCTTATTGAGAAATCTTATATTGCAGGTCATTGGATTCACAGCCTATCCCCTCTCCAAGAACGGCCTCGACTCCATCAGTAAAGCTTTTTTCAAAAAGAATAAATCTCTCGTCAACTCACAGTACACAAACAGTAGACAAGTGAGTTGGATTAATTGAATGCTTTGTCAGATGTATTTGTTGCTGCTACTTGGTAAACCTTATAACCTTATGCTGCACTGTATCGTAATCAAGAGGAATCAACCCCATTGGAATATCTAATTGGTATCAGCTTAGAAATATATGAAGTCAGTTAAAGAATAATTAACATTTCTTGGTTTGAGCCATCCAGCTCTTTAGGGTGGAAAGGTTTACAAAAGTGAAAGGAAATTGGATAAATCCCATTAATTTATTATCGAAGGTACATCTGGTTAACTCAAAGGTTAATGGTACTCAAAACATGATGAAAGAATACATTTTACAATAAATATGAATAAATTAATGAGATTGTATATGGAGCTTCTCATTGTTTAAAATTTATCAAGTTGTGAGAAAATAATTCAGTTAAGTTTGTGTATGGTGGAGGAAAGGTGAGTAAGTAATACTGTATGTCCGTTAGCCGGAATCCTTCTTAACCGGAACTCTCTCTTAGCCGGAATTGAAATTTTCTCAGAAATTCGTTCCCAAAGTCAGAATTTTCCAGAAAAATTTGGCTTTGGGAATGGTTATCTGAGGGGCACATTTTCTGGAAAATTCCAAGAAAATTTTCTCAATGTACATACCTGGAAATATCCGGAAATTCTGGGGATGGGGGATATTTTTCTGGGTTCGAGAGATGATGTAAAGTACAATTTCTGGAACTTCCGAGAACATTTTTCCATTACCCAGAAAATTCCGGGGATGAGAGATTTTTTCCAGCTTTGAGAGTCGTCTCATTACCCGGAAATCTCTCATTCCCGAAGGTGCTCTGCACCAATTGTTCCAACTACCGAAGATATCACTGAACTGGTAACTATCAATGTTTCAAAGTAAAAAATAAGAGATGTATTTTCTCCTAATACTATATAATACAGGTGTGTTTGTGCTAATGAGTAATTTGTGTGTGCAGGTGAGTGAGAGGATACAGTTGGAACAAGGGGGATACATCATGCTTCCCACCACCTTTGAGCCGGGTCAGGAATCATCCTTCACGTTGAGAGTCTTCTCTTCAAAACCTCTGAAACTAAAGTGAGTGTTTGTAGTAAATAAATTAATATCTTTTGATGTATCCCATTTTTTAATAACAAAGGCCATCATGGTATATTTTTAGCAGAAAGGTAGTATTTATCAACTACTTAAGGGTGTCCATGATGAGAGACCTTTAAAATTGAAGGATTGCCTTTAATTTATTTAAGATAAGGGCTAAATTACCTCCTGTATCCAACACACTAAAGTAGAACCCGAGTCAATAATACATTGAGGTCCTTATTATTACTGTATAATTTTGTTTTATCTAGAATTATTAAAATACTTACAACGCCAAGGATAGAAACCCATGATTACACATTTTGGTTTGTAATTTATTGGTAATCTGGTAGGTTGCAAACCCTTCATTGCTCAAGTTAACAATAGGAGGTTCAATTTTGTTTTATACTCTTATACAATATATGCAATTTTTGTGCATAAATTATTAAATTGTTTATTTTTTAATTCACTTTTCATCATTTAACTTTTTATATTTGACTTGAAATAGACAAAAAAGTTCTACTTGTAAACTTTAGCATGACCCTCATCAGGTTGGTGGACACATCACCATCATTGGTGAAACCTGCTCTCCTGAAGGCCCGGGGCTCTGTGGATGGCAAGAGCCTGCAGCAGTATGAAGCTGTTTTCTTGCAGGTTGCTGATGAACATCGCACTGTCAATGCCTTTGAACTCCATGAGCTACTTGAGGCTTGTCTACCCAATGGTAAATAAATCTTGTTGTCTCTGTCGGTCTTTTCTCTGTTTAATGAATCACATCACTCGGTTGTATTTGTTCATGTGTGTGCATGTGTGCACATGTATGCATGCGTGCATGCTCAACTTCGTGGGACTGACCATGTTACATGCATGGACAACAGACGACTGCCAAAGTAGCTACTCTACAGTAACATAATGCTGGCAGGCAACAGAAAATGTATAAGGATAGTCTTAAGACAAACCTGAAAAATGCCAAATCGACCCCCTCACCTGGGAGACGATTACTCCACACCGCAACATTTGGAGGAACACCTCCTGAGAAGGTGTCAATAGTTTTAAGTTAGCCCGACTGCATACCAAGGCAGACAAGTGCCAGCGCTGGAAAGACACTGCCGCCGCCCTCCTGCACTAGATATAACATGACATCCTTAATAACTCGTATCATTGTATCATCGCTGGATAATCATCATTTTCGCGATTCCGAGTGACAACAAAGTAGTAGTAGTAGTATTTTGTGTGAGTGAGTGAGTGTGTTACTTCTCAGACAAAAAAATTAAGAAAATATTGTTGTACTTTTTACATACTTTCCAGGAAAAGAACACAGTACAGTACAGTGGTCCCTCGGTTAACGAACACAATTCGTTCCACAGAGTTGTTCGTGAACCGAAAATTTCGTTAACCGAATCCATTATTTCAATGGGATATTGGGTAATTGGTTCCAGCTCACAGAAAAGTACATACAAAGTAAAAAAAAAAATTGCAGTAAAGTACCCTTACTCTGAGGTGTGTATGTAAAAGGTTCCTGGTTAATGATGATTATGGGAATTAGAAGTGGGGGTGGAGGAAAAGGGAGAAGAGAAGGAAGTGGGGGATGGAGGAGAAATCACCTTTCAGGGGACCCATGCTTGATGCAGTAATTTTACCAATAAAATCTTAAGTTCACTAGGTGTAATTCAAGATTATTTTATTTAAATCAACACTGCACTGCACTATATATTATCAATATGTTAACTAAATTTCAGAATGACCAATAACTTTGATGTAAAAATCCAAAAATATTCAAGACCCCAACAAAATCTACGTTCACTCCACTGTAAACAAAGTTACACTGACGCCTGGTGGGTGAGTCAAGCGGCTGATGGGCCCACAAAAAACTAGTTTCCTGTATTGCATATATTATCAATACGTTAACTAAATTTTAAAATTACTAATAATTTTAATATAAAAAAATGCACAAATATTAAAGAGCAGACTAGCCCATCAGCTAGTTTTGTTCGTTAACCGAATTTAAGATCCTTATGGGAGGTAATTCGTTAACCGAAATTTTGTTAATGGAACCGTTCGTTAACCGAGGGACCACTGTATGTACATTCATTTTAAAAGTTGAGAATTCCCTAAAAGTGAGTTGATTGGGTTTGTTTACTGCACATGTTATCCTACAGTATGTTTAATATAAGGGCACAGTGCTGGTTGATAACCCTGCAACAGGATTTTGGAGGCTTGATGGTTCCTCGTCAGTTACCTTAGTACTCTTCTCGCTGCTTACTTATAAAGAATAGTGTATGTGATGGTACATGTTTTGTGGAATAGATAACAAAACAGTACAGGTATATTATTATATATCCTCTCTGTGTTTTTAAGCTTTAATTTCTATATGATTTTATAATTTTATTTGGTTTGTTAAAGTATACATGCAATGACTTTTTCTTTAATTTGTTATTTAAAAAGTAAAACAAACCTTCAGATGTACTGTATTACAGAGGGGGAGCAAACACCCAAGCCACTGAACCTTATCATAAATGTTCTAGGTATGGTGGCCAAGCTAGAACATCTAGCTCCTGTTGGCACCAGCCACCATGTAATGTTGTCATTCACATTTAACTGTTACTTAATTCACAACAAAACCAGGCCAAGATGCAAATATTACAATGGAATTTACGATGGGATGAGGGTGGAGATGAGGGGTATCCGCTGGCCTGACTTACTAAGGTATAAGAATACAAACACTATGCTGAATATCATAGCCAGTAAAGGAGAGTAAGTACTTCACATGAACCATGCAGCGGTCGACAAAGTTAAGAAGAAAACGCAGAAATTCAAGGTGTGGGTTAGGTCAAACGATGAGCAGGACAGGAGGATGTATGCAAGATCCAGCAACCAAGCAAAGTCAGAGTGTAGAAGGGCTGAAAAGAAATTCCTGAAGCAGGTTGCAAGTGAGGTGAAGTCAAACCCAAAGGAGTTTTACCGCTATGCAAAGTCGAAATTAAAAGCGTGAGTAGGAATATTGGACCTGAGGCTTGAAGATTTTGACCAGGACAAACCAGAGGCATTTAATAGTTTCTTTTCCTCGATGTTCACTAGAGAGGATGCGAACAATCTTCCTGTGTTTGAAGGCAGACGGTTCGACACAGTGCTGACCCACATTGTGTTCACAGAAGAGGTTATAAGAAATAAATTGTCAAAGCTAAAGGTTCATAAGAGTCCCGGCCCTGACATGGTGCATCCTTGAGTGCTAAAAGAAATGTGCAATGAGCTTGCTGAGCCCCTGTAGATCCTGTTCTGTAAATGCCTGGATGAGCAAAAGGTTCCCAGGTATTGGAAAATGGCTTATGTGAGCCCTATCTTCAAGAAGGACGATCGTCACTCCACGAACAACTATAGACCAGTGAGCCTAACTAGCACAGTATGTAAAGTACTTAAGAGCATTATATGAGATGCCATGATGCAACATCTACTACAAAACAACCTTGTAAAAGACTGCCAACACGGTTTTATCGGTTTTATGCCGGGACGCTCCTGCTTAACACAATTACTCAAGTTACTGGATGTTTGGACCCAAATTCTGGAACAGGGTGGTAATATCGACAATATATGCTTAGATTTTGCCAAGGCTTTCGACAGCGTACCCTAAGAAAGGCTGAAAATTAAACTGGAAGGTACGGGATTTGGGGAAGTGTCCTAGCGTGGATCGGAGACTTTCTCCATGATCACAAGCAGTGTGTGGTGATTAATGGCACGAAATCATCATGTGTCATATGCGGGGTTCCATACAGCAGTGTATTGGGCCCGTTGTCGTTTATTTGTTTCATAAATAACATGCCAGAAGCTGTACATTCCTCCATACAACTGTTTGTGGATGATGCCAAGTTATTTTGGGGAATTAAGAACCAAACAGACTGTGAAGAGCTGCAGAAGGATGTCTCTGAGCTTCAAGAATGTTCGAAGAAATAGCTGCCAAAATTCAATGTCATGAATTGTAAGAGGCTGCACCTGGGATGTACCAACAGAAAGGAGACGTATCATATGTCCCAATGAGACGAAGAAACTGCATTAATTGAGACTGAATATGAAAAGGACCTAGGTGTGTATGTTGACAATGAACTGAAGTTCTCGGGTCATTGTGAGAAGAAGGTGAATCAGGCAACTAAATTATTAGTTCTTATAAGAATATTTAGATGGTTCGTCCCTCGTAACGATCTTCAAGAGTTAGTTGCTTCCCTGTCTGGGGTACTGTCACCCCATCTGGTCTCTGAGGTATGTTAGGGACTGTCAGTTGATTGAAAATGTCCAAAGGAGGGTCACCAGGCTGGTGCCAGCACTTCAGTGTCTGCAATTGGCTAGCTTATATTACATACGGGCTAAGGGTGACCTAATTGAGGTATATGAACATCTGGCAGACATTTGCCCCACATGGGATCACAGTTCAAGGTTGAAGAAGCCTCAAATCCAGAAAAATGTGAGGGGTAACTTTTTCGGAGTGAGAGTTGTGAACTCTTGGAACAATCTACCAGTGTGTGTTGTGACATCACCGAGCGTGAGCTCTTTCAAGACCAGACTTGACCAGCACTGCAGCAGGTTCAGATACATTTAGGAGCCGGTACATGTCCAGTACTTGCCAACAGTGCGTAACAGAGACGTGACTCATTGCCCAAGTGGCTAATGAGCTGATCAGTGGTGAATAGGATAAAAATAATAATAAAAAATAAAGTAAAAGTTTGTGCGAGTGTGTGGAAACAAAAGTTGACATAGTCTACTGGTAGGCCTGGCATAACATTGATGACCTAGGATGCAGGAAACTAAATGAATCCTTAAAACCAATTCAGTCTTGGTCTCAAGGGTCCCAAGTTTGAGGATATATACCTGTTTACAGTACAGTACTTATAAATTTTAAAGCAATACATTTACTCTTCTTAAAAATATATAAATAAGTGTTCATTTCCCTCAGAGGATAATTTAACAAATACAATACCAGATATTCATGCTGGTATGGGGTTAACGTGATGTTGGATTGCACTAGGATGGAGGTGAGAAGGGAAACTCAGCTATGACATTTTCCATGTACAGTATATACAATACAGTGCTAGGGAGTTGCTGTGAGGTGAGGAGCTTGTTGAGAGGAGGTCTTGTTGGTTTGAGTGCGCTCAGTAGAATGCCTTTCACGGCGAGGCTGTGAGCTTATATACACGTCTACTGGAAGTAAGCGTTGCTGGTAGCCGAGTCTAGACAGCTAGGCTTGTCAGAGAAACTTCGTCGCGGGATCGGCTGATCAGCGACTAACGGCAGTGGCAGTTGTAGGGGAGAGTATCCACTACAATACTCCCTCTCCCCTCCGAGCGCTGCAGGAAACTTGTCGACAGGGTTGTATTCCACATGTGAGACATAACGGGTGGGGGTGTGAACCACTCGGCCGCTACAGGTGACAACTCCATCTAGGGACACGAGATCTGTGAGAGAAGAAGAGGGAGAAGGAGAAGGAGGGTTGTGGATAAGAGAAGGTTGAACAGGCGAGGAATGTGGTGCTTCTCTCGCGGCAGGTGCAAAATCTTCGGGGGCGCCGAGTGGGGTGTCTGGGTCCATAGGTCCGAATGCAAGATCCTCATCAGGAGCAGGGTCCATGTCAGGAGCAGTAGGTACCTGAGGATGAAAAGAAGGTATGCAGAAATGTTGTGGGTGAGGTGGTGCAGGTGTGGTTTGTTGGGGGGTAATGCTGGGCTGGGGACCCCATAGCGTAAGGTGGCTGGCTTCACTCGATTGATGCTGACAGTGTCGTGTCTGCCATTGTGAATGATCGTCAGGAACTTTGCTGACTATGCAAAAACCAGGAAGGGTCCGTCGTAGGGGCGTTAAAGTGGGTTGCGGTGAGCATCGCGCCTGATGAAGACATACTCGGTGTTGAGTAGTGCAGGAGGGATGTGTTCAGGGCGATGTGAAGGCTGGCGTGGAGCAGATTTGACCAATACTGGAGCAGGTTCAAATACATTCAAGAGCCAGTGCAGGCCTAGTACTTGCCAACATAGACGTGACCGACGGCCCAAGTGGCTAACGAGCCGATCAGTGACTAAAGAGGATAAAAGTAAAAGAAAAAGAAAAAAGTATATCTTAGGTATAATTATGTCTACAACATTTATATACCAGTACACTATAATCATGATTGTTGAGAATTAATGAAAATAAATGTGAAACAACGTAAAACAACAAAATGAAGAGTGAAGGATTACTTTAGCTAACAGATTCTAAACACTCTTCTAAACAATAGTGACAAATGTGTATTGCATGCGTAAGATTTTTTGTGCTATTTTTTCTTTACTTGGCATGCATCTTCTGTCAGAAAAAAGTCTTAATTTATCATTGTTCAATGGTTAGATAATTACTGTAACATTGTATGGAAAATGAACAGTGTGTGCAGGAAACCTCTAAGGCATGAGTTGCCTGGCTAGAGAGCATTGTTTGTTACGTAGAAATGTATATTGATAGATACTGTATATGAGGCTTATTCCACATCATTTAGGAAGAAATCTTTATATGTAAGAATTTGACTTGGTTCTACCACAAGTTTGCAGGCACTGTGTTGTTGAGGGCCAGAGTTGTAACTTATGTTTAGGTCACTTTTAGGCACCTTTTTAATGCTCATTGATAATAATACCACACCCTCACTCCAGTACCCCAGCCAATATGTGCATTTACTGGACTTTATATGTAATGTGAAAATGTGGAGAGGCCAGGAGTGAAGGAGGATGTCAGTGGGGTCTTACAGATCTTGCCTAGTGTTGCCAAAGTTGTAGTTTGGGTTGGTAGGTGGTTGTTGTCACCTGTAGGTCTATAATGTCCTCTACAGTACTGGGGATATTCCATCCTAACATTTCACTTTGCATTTAATTATGCTTCACTGTAAAGCAGTGTTCCCCAACCTTTTCAACACTGGGTCACAGTTCCCAGCACCTCCAAGATTATTTGGTCACATTTCAAGTTTGTCATCTGAGAAATGACACAACTATTATGGGTATACAAGTATATTACAGTAATAATTAGTCACATTATGCTCACAGTCAGCATAGCGAATGAAGCACATCAACTGAACCCTGTTTGTAAGATCCCTGGATTCGTCGAATTGCAATCCATAGCAGGGATTTTTTTTTACCTTTTCTACTTGCTGTACAAGTAGGTCTTCAGCAACCATTAAGCTTCGTAGCAGCACTTTCACCAAGCACTTCTTCCGAAAGGATGTTCATCGCTGAAACGTTGATTTTTTCACCTTCTGTGAAAGGTTTCTTTTTTGGCAACAAGCAGGTATGCTGCTTTCAAAGATGCAGTGACGAGTTTGGTATCTGATGTCGCCTTGTAGTTCTGTTCAAACCTTCACGAAGACTGACCCTTCTTGTGGAGCAAGTTTCCAATATACAGTAAGTCTGCAGCTTACTCTGAAGATTAGAATTTCTCTCCAGGTGACGGCAAAGCTTGCTTGGCACCAGGCATTGTTTTGACTTCATTTGGGGGCATAGCAGACACGATGCTGTTGGATGCTCCTCTTTTTCCTCGTCAGTCAGATGAAATCCACACTTGACGTAAGCTACACTCCATTTCCTCTTTGCTGCTGTAAATTTCTCTCTTTTCTTTGGCGAGTCTGCAGTGCTGCCAATCACATGTAACGTGTTAAGTGGGTCACTGCTGCCCCTGGATCACAGCGCATGGTCACAGTAGTTCGCCGGGTCACACTAGTAAGTGGTTTGGGTCTCAGGGTTGGGAAACACTGCTGTAAAGGACTAAACAGTCCAGATAAATCACTGTGAGGGATTATTGGAATACCTATAATGAACTAGCATTTGTTGCCTTGTCCTTCCCTCTCCTACTTTGGCTTTCCCCCCATTCCCCTGCTCCTGTCTTTCCCCTGCTCCTGTCTTCCCCTCCCCTGCTCCTGTCTTCCCCTCCCCTGCTCCTGTCTTCCCCTCCCCTGCTCCTGTCTTCCCCTCCCCTGCTCCTGTCTTCCCCTCCCCTGTTCCTCTTCTTCTTTACTTCACTTACCTGTAGTTATTGCTATTGTTTCTATTAAGCTATTTTTGGTCATGCTATATCATATTAAGATGTTTTTAATCACATTTTCCTTTTCAGGAAGGTATAATAAGCTTATCAAGTGAAAATAACAATAATTTGTGGGATTTAAGGGAATTTTAGGGGAATACAGGGTATGTAGGACTCCAGAATCTAACTCTATTTTTACTGTAAAAGTATATTGGTTACATTCTCTAAACTTGACAATCCTTGGGGGTGTGTAGGAACACAATCCCACAAATAGTACTTTATGTAAGAATATCTTTTGAAAACAGTTAGTGGAGGCTATCAGTGATTGGGTGAAACAAGAGTTACATTAAAAATAATATATAAAATGTAAATTCCATTTAATGCTATTTTTGCAATAAAAATTTTTGTTTTAGAAGTTTAAGCTTCAGCTCTAATTTCTTAAATTCTTCATTAGAACATATTTATCTCCATTTGAGATAATTCTTACTGTATGTTGTTTTACAGATTACATCAAAAGTTGTGCTAGCCTGGACATCTGTCGACAAGTGATTCTCGCCCTGGATGTATCCTTCTGTTGTGTTACTCTATTTTTTGTTTTCAGTATTTGTTTATTTGTTAGTAAATATTGCATTCAGAGGTAACTAAAATTATGAGTAGAGGTCATGCTATGATTATTGTCAGTGGTACAGGAGACTTTTAATTAACAGTGAAGTTCAATTTTATAGGATTCCATACTTGAGTGAATCATTCTATAGGGAAGCTAATTTCCTAAGGTAAATCCCTCATACCCGGAACTCTCCGATAGCTGAAATTGAAATTTGCTCGGAAAATCATTCCCAAAGCCGGAATTTTCCCCCAAATTCCATGTTTGGGAAAATTTTTCTGGGGTTGAAAACTGAGAGCATCTTCTGAAAATGTCTTGAGTAAAGATGAAAGTATTTTGGCGGGGACTTAACGTGCCTTAATGTCAGGTGGAGGTAGGATGGGGGATTAGTGGTCTCATATTACTGACCTTCTGATGGTCGGGTCACCCTCTCTTGGGTGTGGGATTAGTGGGTCTCATGACCTGAAGATGTCTTGAATAAACATGAAACCTAAAGTATTTTTAGGGAGATTGTGGTAAGTATACAGTAAGTATAAATGAGCAAAGTTGTATCCCTTCAACATTACATTACATAACATTTTAAAATATGGAGTGAGAAAGCAGAAAGGTGTGGGTGATTAGAGAGATGGAGTGGTAACATGCACCACTGTTGCCAAGCAATAAACTCCTCAACAGCTAATCTTTTAATTTGCCTCCATGCAATCACACAACAAGACCCTCACTGGATGCTTGTTTTCTTAATTCCTGTGTGTGCGCCTGTGTGTGCACGTGTATTTGCTGTTTGTGCGCATGTGTGTGTGTGAGCATGTGTCTGTGTGTGCGTGTGTGCAAGATAACCATTCTTGAAGCACCATTAGTGCGAAATTATTCAGAATGTTTCCTTAACTCCCCTTGCAGAGTTCCTCCACAGGTCGCCTAAGGTTCTCTGATTTTAAGGACCTGATGGTCAGTCTTAAATTCTGGCAGAACTCCTTCAAGACCCACACAAAAGAGAGAACTGGCATCCTCAAGGCAGAGAGACTGAGAGATGCACTAGAAGATGTTGGTCAGTATGGTATTACCATCAACATATTTAAACATTTGATATTAAAGTATATTTCTGTATGAGAGCTCAAACTTACAATTATTATACAGTATATGATTGGTATACAATACAGATCTGATTACTTTTTTTTTTTATAGTTTTTTGGGGATTTAATCCAATTTATCCCATCATCAAAAGTATAGGGGATATAGCAGTCATGCTGTCTATCTGCCAATCTTTTTAAAGATTCAGTTGAATGTTTTGGTATGAAGTTGTACTGTGACAAGTTTTAGCTTGGGTCTTTTGGGCAGGTTAGTACTGAAGTCCAATAAATTTTAGATATGAAATACAGGTTGAACCTCCCTAATCCGGAACTCTATTGTCCGGCGCCTCCCGTCGTTCGGCAAAATTTTAGTTCGCCGGACGGCCGCTAGTACCCACCGGCGCTAGTATTCATGGTTCAGCATACCCTTCGTTTACATCTGGTCCTCGTGGAGTTTGGTGTGTTCCTAGGTATTTCAAGTGTTTCTGTAATATTTCACTTGTTATTTATCCTTATTATGCCTCCTAAGCAACCAGGAGGTGATACTGGTGCAGGAAATGCTTCCAAACGCCACAAACTCGTATCTATATCGATACAACAGAAGGTGGAACTGTTGAAGAAACTGGACAGTGGCGTATCAGTCCGTGCGTTATGTGAAATGTACAATGTTGGATCATCTACAGTGTATGATGTCAAGAAGCAAAAACTTCAAATCCTTAAGTTTTATAGTAAAACACTGAAGGAAGGGAAAACAGTGATTTAGACAGTGATTTGGATGAAATACATTACCTGTACAGGTATTTCCTTTTCATCAGTGGCGTGTCGTGAGAAAAATGCTAGGGGTAAGCAAATGACGCTTTCTTACTTGTAAAGTCACGAGATCTAAAAGAATTCTTTAGTAGATCACATACAGACTGTATGTGATCTACTAAAGAATTCTTTTAGATCTCGTGACTTTACAAGTAAGAAAGCGTCATTTGCTTACCCCTAGCATTTTTCTCACGACACGCCAATGCTTTTCATATTTCTTTCTTTATCCTTTTGCATGCATATTTACTTATATCATTTACATTAAAACTGTGTGACAACAATAATTCTATGTATTTTACAAAGACCACGTGTGGTTTGGAAAATTCTATAGTCTGGCACCGGTCAGATCCAAAGGGTGCCGGATTAGGGAGGTTCAACATGTACTACAATATAGTAGTGTGTATATATTTTTGTCAAAGAGACATATAAATTCCAGTGTTCAGTCCCTGAGGCACACATTGCTTCTAGCCATGATTATGGCTTTGATTTTTATGCCATGATTTAATGTGTCCATAGATAATGGCCGTTCCCCATACATATTGGCTGCTCCTTGTATTTTCTGGCTGCTTCTCATAGCCTCAGTATTGACTTTGTTCCATGGAAGACACAGGTGCTTCAAGTTGTGTGGAACCCAAAAGCTAATGCTTAATTCCTGTAGCAACAATGTGATTATGAAGGTCGAGTTCTGAAATTTAACCCGTAACACAGATGTTCATACACTTGTAGATTTTATCCTCTGCGCCACTGTTCAGCTCATTAGCCGCTTGGGTGGTCGGTCATGTCTCTGTTACACACTGTTGGCAAGTACTGGGCATGCACTGGCTCCTGAATTGTGCCTTTATAGTACTGTACCTATCATAAGCTTTAAACTGAATTTACTTTAAAAAAAAGTATCACTTCATTCCTTTCAAAATTCCCTAGCTAATGTCACTAAATCACTTCATTCCTTACAAAATTCCCGAGCTACTGTCACTAATTTGAGCAGCCTCTACAAAAATATTTTGCACTATAACACCTATGACATAATAATGACAAAATGCCAAAAACAATTGGATCACCCGAAAATTATACCCAACTTATTTTGTCTTGCACTACCTGCTGGATTAGGTTAGGTTAGCATTAGTTGTGGTTATCTGAAGATGAAATAAGTTGAATATTATATTCACATACTCCAATGTTTTATGACATTTTAAGAGGTGTTAGTTCAGGAGTTTGATTTGGGTACATCTGCTCACCTGGGTTGAGTAGTTACCATTCTTAAGTTTGGGACAGTGACCTGATGATGTCATAACCTTCCACATCCATTTGCTTATTCTATAGGGTTCCAACTGAGTACAGAAGTGGTGTCGATACTGGTGCTGCGCTACATGAGAAAAGATGGCACTCTGAGGTTCGGGGACTTTGTTAGTGCTATCCTCCATCTCTCAGTGGCATTCAGTAAGTACACTACCAAGATCTTCATCATTGTGAGGATATATTTTGAGTACAAATGAAACATAAAACATTAATTTATATTTTATGGCTCCTAGATTATTATGTATTTTCATTTGCATGGGACCTTTTGAGTTCAAGACTAAATGAGAATTTCCATTTCATCTGTCCTGGGATAGTGTAAGTCTTCTACCCTAGAGTCATCCATCTGTTACTTTACGCCAGTGATTCCCAACCTGGGCTGTAGCGCCAACCAGTGGGTGTTTTTATTAATTCAGGGGGCAGCAAAGTTGCACTCAGAAAATTTTGTGAAACTAAATTTAAAGTGAGGTTCTGGTTTAAGGGTGTAGGTTTTTCATGAAAGGGGGGCGCTAAAATGAGAAAGTTTGGCCACCACTGCTTTAGGCTTACCATAACTTTTACTTTTATACTTTTATCCACTTCACCACTGATTGGCTTGTTAGCCGCTTGGGCGGTCGGTCACATCTCTGTTCCGCACTGTTGGCAAGTACTGGGCATGCTTTGGCTCCTGAATGTATCTGAACCCGCTTCAGTGTTAATCAAGTCTGGTCTTCAAAGAGCTCACACTCGGTGCCATCACAACATTCTGTGGCTGATTATTCCGAGAGTTCACAATTCTCACTCCACAAAAATTTACCCACACAGTTTGCTAAACTTGTGGCTTCTTCAACCTTGAGCTGTGACCCATTGTGGGTTACGCATCTGCCAGCTCCAGGTACTGATACTTGATTGAGGATTAGTGTCTTCTGAGATGTTTATACACTTCAATTAGGTCATCCCTTACCCATCTGTAGTATAAGCTTGGCAGTGCAGGTGTTCTAATATCTCTGGATAACTGAGGTGCTGGACATTTTCAATCAACTGACAATCTCTAGTACTGTATATATCTCCGAGACTGGATGGGGTGATAGTACTCCAGACTGGGAAGCACCTTGCTTTTGAAGATTGTCACAAGGGAAGGACTATCTAGATATCTGAATGACCTTCTTATAAGACCTACTGGTTTAGGTGCTTGATTCACCTTACTCTTACAATGGCCCAAGAACTTTAGTTCATTGTCAACATACACACCCAGATCCTTTTCACTTGGGGTCTCTATTAATGCAGTTTCTTCATCCGGTTGGGACATGTGATGTGCGGCCTTACTGTTGGTATAACTTAGGTGTATCCTCTTACACTTAGTGAAATTGAATCTCAGCTGCCATTTCTTCGACCACTCTTGAAGCTCACAGAGATCTTTCTGTAGCTCTTCACTGTCTGTTTGGTTCTTAATTACTCTGAATAACGATTTGGTGCCATTAATCACGACACACTGCTTGTGATCATGAAGAGAGTCTCCAATCCACGCAAGGACACTTCCCCGAATCCCGTACCCTTCCACTTTAATTCTCAGCATTTCATGGGATGCACTGTCAAAAGCATTGTCAAAATTAAGCTTTTTATTGTCGGTATAACCGCCCTGTTCCAGAATTTTAGTCCAAACATCCAGTACCTTGAGTAATTGTGTTAAGCAGGAGCATCCCAGCATAAAACCGTGTTGGCAGTCCTTTACAGGTTTGATTCGTAGATGTCCCATCATGGCGTCTCCTACAGTGCTCTCTCATCCTTTACACTAATCTGGTCAGGCTTACTGGTCTACAATTATTTGTGGAGTGACGATCGCCCTTCTTGAATAAAGGACTCTCATAAGTCATTTTCCAGTTACTGAGGACCTTTTGCTCATCCAGGCATTTACAGAACAGGATCTTAAGGGGCTCAACAAGCTCGTTGTACAACTCTCTTAGCACTCTGGAATTCACCTTGTCAGGGCCGGGACTCTTATGAACCCTTAGCTTTGGCACATTATTTCTTATACCCTATTCTGAGAATACAATGTCGGTCAGCACTGTGTCAAACCGTCTATCCTCAAACGCAGGAAGATTGTTCGCATCCTCTCATGTGAACACCGAGGAAAAGAGTTTGTTCAACGCCTCCACCTTGTCTTGGTCAGAATCTGCGTAAATACCATCTATAAGCCTCAGGTCCGATACTCCTACTTGCATTTTTAATGTCAACTTTGCTTAACGGTAAAAATCTTTTGGGTTTGACTTGGCCTCGCTTGCAATCTGCCTCTGGAACTCCTCTTCTGCCTTTCCACACTTTGACTTTGCTTGGTTCCTGGATCTTGCATACATCATCCTGTCCTGCTCATTATTTGTCCTGACCTACATCTCGAAAATCTGAGTCTTTTCTTAACTTTGTCAACCGCCACATGGTTCATGTGTAATGATCTCCTTGTATTCGTGGAGGCACTGGGTTTGGTCTTGGGGATATATTTATTAATCAAATGGTTCACTTTACTGGCTATGATATTCAGCATAGTGTCTGCATTCTTATATCTTAGTGAGTCAGGCCAGTCAATACCCCTCATCTCCTCCCTCTTTTCATCATAACTGCCCTTGTAATGCAATAATATCTACATTAGCCGGAATCTCTCAAACTCGGAACTCTACGATAGCCAGAATTGAAATTTTATCGGAAAATCGTTCCTGCTTTTGGAACAATTTTCCAGGGGGCAAATTTTCTGGAAAATTCTGAGAAAATTTTTCTCAATTCCCTTGAAAATTCCAGGGATGGGGGAGTTTTTTCCAGGTTTGAGAGACGAAAATCAAGTGCATTTTCAAGGAAATTCCGAGAAAATTTTTCCAGTACCTGGAAAATTCCAGAAAATTCCCTGATGGGGAATATTTTTCCAGGTTTGAGAGATGATGTAATGGGCAATTTCTGGAACTTCCGAGAAAATTTTTCCATTAGCCGGAAAATTCCGGGGATGAGAGATTTTTTCCGACTTTGAGAGAGTCGTCTCATTACCCGGAAATCTCTTATTTCTAGAAGTGGTCTGCTTTTGTCATGAACCAAGTAACAGTTAAATCTGAAGGTCAGTGTTACGTGGTGGCTGATGCTAATGGGAGCTAGATGTTCCAGCTTGGCTATCATACCCTCCTCGTTAGTTTTAATGAGGTCCAGCAATTTGGGTGTTTATTCCTACAAATAGAGTAGCAGGATTATTAAGGTCATTTTGCGTGGTTTCATTACTCCAGTCGATGTCGCCATAGTTAAAGTCTCCCATGACAAGGAGGTGGCTAGGGTTGAGCACCACTGTATTGTCAATTAAGGCTCTTAAGTTCCTTTTATTTAATCAGCTACAGTTTGGGGATCTGTAGATGCATCTGACAATGAATAAGTCTCTCCCCTTTAGTTTATTTTTACATCACTTCAATTCTCCAAAAACATCCTCCCTCTGCACCGTCAGCTGGCTGGCTCTGAAGACTTGCCTGGAATAGATAACCAGCCCCTCTTACAAGTTGGTTGAGAAAGGGTCATAAATGAGTCATATTTATCTATATATTGAACTCGCATTCCTCTGGATCGATTCTCCTGTTCGTGCACAGCAGTTCTACAATGTCTACTACACCTATATCGGATTGATGGATATTGAGTAGGGTTTCAAATTCCACTCTATAGGTACTCCTCGAATTACGACCTACTTGACTTACGACCACCCAGACATACGACGGCCATGATCGTATAAAATATTTTTCAAATTACGTATTTTCGAGTCCCGACGTTAGTGATCACACTGTGTACTGACAAAATTTTCGTTTGTAATTCCCTTTAAAATGGCTGGCAAGCGTAAAAGTGAGAGTTCTCATGGTGCTGAGAAAAAAAAGAGACTCATTTTAGATTTTCTATGTATTATTTTTGCATTTTTGACTTACGACCAATTCGACTTACGACCTGGTCATCGATCCCTAACCCCGTCGTAAGTCGAGGACTGATTGTATTATCATGGGATGTGCCAGTATTAGTGTACATGACTTTCAAACCGGAATTAGTCCTTGGTAACATCTTTGATCTTAGTAGTGTCTCCGGCCTCCCTCCATTCTCAGCAGCTGCCTCGTTTACTAAATTCATTTGATTTTTTGGGGTATGGTCAGAGATGACATTGTTAATATGGCACTCGCCTCCTCCTGGGTGGGAGGTAGAGTGGATGGGGGTGTCCTCCTGTCCCCTGGTTCTGTAGGTGCACTTGTCTCCACTACTTTCCCCTTGAATATAACCCATCCATGTGTGTCCCCTCTTATCCTCTAATTCTCCCTCTCCTGCTTCAAGAACTGTATTAATATGTACCAGGGGCCAGTAGTAGTGCACCTTGTGATCAAATATACTTCAAATATACTTCATACACGTGCTAGTCTGAATACCATGATTTATGTGGCTATCTCTCCCTACTCTTATGTTCGTTCACAAAACTTTTCGGGCTTCCGCCCTGGGTTTGTTAATCAGATAATAATTATTTATGAACTCACTACAGTACTGTACTGTATATACCGGTAACTTTAAAGATTTTAGACCAAAGCAAGAAGCTGCCGAGATGAGATTTATTTATTTTTTATTCAAGAAGTATAACAAACATTCAGTTGAGTTTGTGTAAGTGTGTGGTAAGCAAAATTTGGCGTTTTCTCCTGGTAATCATCAGCCAGAAAATTAACTCAACCCAGTGTAGTATCTTACATGATTTAATGGGAGAATGAGAAGACACATGCTGACTCTAACTCAGGGTGTTTATTGTTGTTGTTGTGTACCTCGTGCCTAACACATTCGTGATTACACAGGCCTAAGCGCATTCTAACTTTGGTAAGAAGTAACATAATATATAATGTATATATAATCAATAAAGGCAACATATAAACATACACATATATAACACCCAAGAAAAAAATTCCTGTTTTAAAGAATCATCTGCATTCTTACGGTATATCCGGATTTGGTGGTCAATATTTTTACCTTTGCAGTATTTGGATGATGATAAATGCTCTTACACCTTATATTGCTGGCACATTCATACTTAATGAAATAAATCAATGGAAATTCATTACCTGACTAGCCTTTAGTTTTAGTAAAAGAATTTATGTATCTTTTCAGATATTTTTGAGAAACGAGATCCCCTTCAGAATGGTGCAGTTAAGTTTTCTATGGGTGAGGTATGTAATTCTGCATTACTTCTTAGATGATAACAGAGAGGATGTATACGGCATATTGTATGAGATAAGAGGAATACCTGTACAGGGAATTCATTATAGATGTTGTGCCTCACATTATTTGATTAGTGGAATAGATCACAGTGCCTGTTTTCCTACTGATCACATAAAAAAGTTTAACTAATTGTTCCTCCTGGAAAAATTATTGATGAGAAACAATGCATGGTGCCCATAATGCATGATTAGAATATTGTATTCAAATGCAAAAATTTAGAAATGCATCGCAGTTCTGCTGAAACTGAATACATGTATTATTGTACAGCATGTGAAATATATATAGTATGCAGTACAGTAGAACCCTGGTTATCCGGAGTCTGGGTAACCGGCAGATTCAACTAACCTACACCAAAATGAAATAATAAAAATATAAATTCCTCCCAAATTAGCTAAAATTGTAAGTTTGAATACTGCGCACAACAAGAATGATCATCCATATTTATTGTTATGATAAACAATAAAATTGATACTTAGCATAATATAAAATACAATAGCCTATATTTTATGTACAAAATATAGCTCCTTCCATACTCAAATCATAATTTGTGTGATGCAACACAGTTCAAGCAGTCAACCAGCTGACTCACAGGTGTATAGCTGCTATGTATGACATCACATCGGGAGGGAGTGCGGCCACGCAGTTATAGCCCACCACCTCCACACACATTCACTTCCCACACATACACACCCATGCTCTTTATTTTTCTTATTTTATAGTTTTATATTCTATTTTCGTTATTTATGAGACACGTAAAAGTACTGCATGCCCTTAAAATATGCGAGGGTTTGGGTCTCAAAATGGCTGCGAATATCCATCCAGGCACAGGTCATCTACCCACAATGGGGCCTGGGGAGCAAAAACATAAGAATAAAAGAATTTAAAAATAGAAGTGAAAAAAAACTACTATATTAATCAACACCACGAAGATGCCGGACAACCAACTTTTTAAAGTGAGACATTGTAAAAGTATGGAAACACAGAACAAGGCAGAGCATTCCACAGTTTGGCTGTGTAAGGAAAGAAGAATGTACTATAACGGGTTATTCTAGTGTGACCGACATCCACACAAAAACAGTGAGCACCGCGGGCAAGATGAGTGTTACGAGCCCATGTCCTTGCTGGAAGTACAGAGGATGCCCAATCTGCTAAACATTGTCCGTTAAAGTACCTGTAAAAGAGAGAGAGTGAAACAACATTGTGGCAAAGAGAAAGGGAAGAGAGATTATCAACTAAAGGAGCAGAGATAACAAGATGAAATGCCTTTGTTTCCACCCTATCTAACAGGTGGATAGAAGAAGAGCCACCCCAGATATGAGAGCAGTACTCCAAATTTGGACGAATGAATCCCTTATAAACTTAAAGCAACTGCTCAGGGGTGAAGTAGCTACAGTATCTTTATAGCATTCCCATCTTTTGGGAGGCAGCTTTAGCAAAGTTGCGGATGTATGGCTTCCATGGCATATTAGAGGAAATGGTGAGGCCTAGCATATCTATTTTAGAATTTGGCAGAATGATTGCATCCTGGAATGTGATTGGTGGGAGATATTCAATTTTGGAAAGTGTAATTGGTAAATACTGTGCTTTATTACTATTGAATTTAACCAAGTTTCTACCTCCCCATTCAGAGGTGCTGCACAGATCCGCATTGATAGATGAAATGATATCAGGTCTAGAAACAGATCTAGTATGAGAATTAGGGGGGAAGGGAAAAATGTGAAGAGTGAAGAGTAGAATCATCGGCATAAGAATGGATAGAATTAGTTGTAGTGTGAAGTAAATCATTGATAAAAAGAAGGAAGAGAGTAGGCGAAACAGAACCCTCAACTTTAATAACAAAACATGAAGCTGACTTCAGGGTAGACTCACATTTTTTCTACATTTCGATACATTTTGTTGTCTTGTTTCTGAATATTTGTGAGAGGATTTTCCCATTATTATTCATTTGTACAGGTCTATGTTTTGTGTGTTTGTTTGTGTGAGTGGAAGATGGTCGTTTATGCACTGGGATCTTGGCAGCAGTGCAATCTGGTCCTGTCTTTGCGATTGAGCAGCCCTTTCGAGGAGCCACTCTGCTTACCTCACATGGGGAGGGGGCTAGAAAAGATGACTTAAACATAGCCTGCCTAAAAACCCAACCTAACTGGGCAACTGCACCCAGTAAGGTCATCCTCATTCGGTCAAAAACACAATCATAATCACAGATCCAAACAAAAACAAACCATACAACCTCTTATGGTCGCTCGATGAAATGTCAGGACCCTTCTGGATACCGGCACAAATGAGCATCCTGAAAGAAGAACTGCCCTTGTGGCAAAAGAGCTGGCTAGGTACAACATCGACATAGCAGTCATTAGTGAGTCCCGGCTCCCAGATGATGTCCAGCTCACAGAACGGGGGTGTGGCTATACTGTACCTTCTTCTGGAAGGGTAAGCCTGCTGCAGAGAGAAACTTCATTTATGGAGTTGGCTTTGCCATCCGCCAACACATCCTACACAGGCTAACTGAAATGCCTATAGGGATCAACAAGTGCCTCATGACGCTTCAAGTCCCACTAAATTACTCATATCATGCTTTTTTCATCAGTGCATATGCCCCAACACTGGATGCAGAGGATGACATCAAGGGGCCTTTTATGCCAACCTCTACAGAGTGTTAACCTTTATCCCCAAAGAAGACAAGGTTCATCACAGAATTGTAACGTTCGGTACGGGTAACTTCTGGTCCGCCTATACGCGGACCAGACGTTACCTAGTGGGCGGCAACTCCTGGTATGCTGTGATGTCATCAACCGCGCATGCGCAGTTATCATTTCGGCAACTTCTGGTCCGCTACACCCCCATGAAAATGCCAGCAACTTTAAAACTACCCGTAGACATTCCTGGGTACATCCAGGGTGTCCTCCAAGAATAATCAAGGACCGCGAATTAAAATTCCGTGAATTTTCAGGGCATGCTGTATTGTAATGATTTTCCACAACTTTTATTGTTTCATTACATGTAACTCTATATGAGGCAGCTGAACTGGTGAGTCGGCAATGCAGTTATAGCCCACCGCTTCCACACAGTTTCAATTCCCACACAGGCCATACTTATTTTTCTTAGTTTATAGTTCTATATTATACTGTATTGTACAGGTACACCACCGATTATCCGGGAACTGATGGTTCGGCATCTCCTTTAGTCCGGACAAAATTATGAGGGGGCACTTAACTTCCCTCCCTTCCTCCCAGCCAGGGTGAAGGTAGTTTTAGGCTTAAAGTTTTTAGCTTATAAAACGTAGCTGATTAGACTTAGCAGAATATAAACTGCATTGCTGGAATCCTTGTAAGTTAGTGACTAATTTGAGTATAAACATCACATAGTTTGCAGAAGAGATATAAATTTTAGTCTAGAGTAATACATTTGTGTACAAGTTTTTTAACTCATTTTTGGGAAGATTTATGTAACTTTCTTCATTTACTTTTACTAATTTACATGCACACACCATCCTCAATATATATTGTGAAAAAAGTAAAAGAAATAATTGTCGTAAGGATAAACCTGTAATAAGTTAATTACAGTACAGTACTAAAATTTTTATGTCTAGTGCAAACTATGTGATGTTTATTCTCAAATTAATCACTATCTTACAAGAATTACAGCAATGCAAATTATATACTGCCAAGTCAATTTATTGACTTTTTATAAGGGAAAAAACTAAAACTCCTTCTGTTTTGATAACTGCACTTTGTTATCTCCCCTCCCTGACAGCTGTCAACACGTCACCTCCCCCTCCCTCCCTATCCTCACAGCCATGGTGAAGGTAGTTTTTGGCTTAAAGTTTTTATCTTATAAAATGTCGCAGACTAGACTTAGCAAAATGTAAATTACAATACATTACTGGAATCCTTGTAATATACAGTACAGGTTGACTATAAAAAATCCGGCAACCTCGGGACCTGAGGAGTGCCGGATTTTCGAAAATGCCGGAAAACTGATGGTTATATTTGCTGTATCAGTTCAACAGAAAATGACTACCTGTACAGTCCTTTAAACAAAGAAAATTAAACACTAATTAAAAAGCAAATGAAATTTTATTATATATGCTGTATACAGTAGTACCCCGATTACGTACGCGGTCAATTGAACCCACAGGGCACCACGGAAAGTGAAAGCCCGTAAAGTGAACAACAGAACATTTGGGATTAATTCCAATAGAGACTGGCCCGACCCCCAAACTCCGCTTTTTTCGACACAATACCTATGTTGTAGTAAAAATAACATCTAAATTTTATGATGGTATGCTCACACAATTAATATTTAAGAGAAATACAGTCGCCAGGTTAATGTCCATTCAAATAATGGACTCAAATCCCCCCCCCCCCTCTTCCCAGCTCACTGGCCCCTACCTCTCTGAGAAATGATTGGGTGAAACACTAGATTTTAACGTTTAGTAATAAATAATACCTCAGACTAAAGTTAGGATAATATAATTGACATTTCTGGATTCCTTGCAGGTCAGGGAATATTTTGAATGTAAACTTCATATATTTTGCACAAAAGATAAAATACTTGCTTTGTGTAAACCAAATTATTACATTAGATCTAAAATTTGTATGTCTAATGCAAAATCCATGATGTTTATATTCAAAATGATCATCATATTGTAAGAATTCCAGCAATGTAAATTATATTCTGGCCGGGTAATTTGTATGAATTTTATGAGCTAAATAAAAAAAAATAAAAAAATTATACTTCACGCGTATATGAGTAGCCGGTTCTGGCAAGGTGTAAATGAGCGGAGGAAAGTGAAACCGTGTAAAGCTGGGTAATACTGTACAGTATATTTAACAGAAAATTACTACCTGTACAGTCCTTTAAAAAAAAAAAAAATTAAACACTAACTGAAAAGCAAATGAAATTTTAATGTTTACCAGGCTAATTAAATGATAAAATGATAAAATCAGAAGGAATGAGCATGAATGCTTGTTAGCAGGTGCAAGCAAGACCCAACAGCTGATTCTGGAGTACAGCGCTATCAAAACATAAATGGCGCGTCCAGAAAACAATGGTGCGCCAAGGCAGGAAATTTGAAAATGCGCTCCGAAATCCATGCCGGAAAACTGAAGGTTCCGGTTTATCGATTACCGGATTTTTGATGGTCAACCTGTATTATCCCGCTTTACGCGGTTTCACTTTCCGCGATTTCTCATTTACGCGGTGCCTCGCCAGAACCGAACTTTCACTTTCCGCGGTGCATCTACTCATATACGCGGGAAGCGGCGCGGGCAGGATGCGCACAAGGTCGCCCAGTCATCAAAACATTACCGAGTTCTTCACCCGCCACCCACCACAGCCGGCCTAAGTCAGTGATAGTGATAGTGAGGATATGGACTTATATGGACTTTGAGGGGTTTGACAAAGAGGCCCTGCAAGCCTATGTGGTGGATAGTGATACAATTGATACAAGTGATACAGGTGAGGGCCAATAATCTGCCCTCTGCCTCGGAACCAACCCCCCATCCCTGTGTGCCCAGCCATCTTTTCTACTAATGTAAGTGTTAAAAAAACTAATATTATTGATATTTCTCTTAATTATTAATTGTGTGTGCATGCCATCATAAAATTAAGATGTAATTTTTACTACAACGTAGGTATTGTGTCTGAAAAAGTGGAGTTTGGGGGTCGGGCCAGTCTCTATTGGAATTAATCCCATATGTTCTGTTGTTCACTTTACGCGGTTTTCACTTTCCGCGGTACCCCATGGGTTCAATTGGCCGCGTAAATTGGGGTACTCCTGTAGTGATTAATTTGGGTATAAACATCACATAATTTGCACAAGAGTACAAAGTAAGTACAGTAATGTTGCTCAAAATTATAGCTTTTTCACATTTAATTTACATTTAATATTTGTTTAATTTAAGTTTATAGCAGTCCATAGTGCTTTACAGACATGGGAGGTGGATAATTAGTGGGTCAGAGGTGTATTGTTGAATTATTATAACCTGACCTCGGTTGGTCCAGCAAAACGGATAATCCGGCAAGGCTTTGGAACCAAGGGTGCCGGAAAATCGGTGGTGGACCTGTATTTTCTTTATTTGTAAGCCACATCATTTATATAGAGTGGAATAAGTGTTGAACAAGTCTGATTGTCTGAGACACGAATTTGCGAGGTCAGCCTGTATTATTGTGCAGTGTAGGATTTATTGGGGGATCTTAAGAGTGAGGTCAAACTAACCGGAAAATCTTTTTAGCCACCACCTCTCAATCCCCAAAGGTGCTGGACAACCGGGATTCTACTATGTACAGGGTACTTGATAAAAAAAATATAGAAAATGTACTCTTCTGCATAATAATCAAGAATTGTTTATTTTCAGTGGTTGAAGAGTGCATTGATGTGTTGATCACACACACACACAAGAATATCCCCCACTATCAACAACTTGAACCAAGATTGTACCTGTTTGCTCTGTAATTTTCTCTGAAAGCTGTTACGTTCTAGACCAGGAATGTGCATTCAGCCTTTTCAGCTGAAGTCAAGATAAATAACTGTATTGATATGTACCAGGGGCCAGTAGTAGTGCAGCATGTGATGAAATATACTTCATGCAGTATTGTGTAACATACAAACACATTAGTGGTACTGTATATAGTGTGCTACAGAACAAACACTAGAAAATGAACTAGCAGCTGGATTTGGCCCACAGGCCATAGGTTGCACATCAGAGTTCTTGGCTATACAGTATCAAGTATTCTAAACCTTGGTGTGAAGTAGCTTTAATGATGTATTGTATTATTATACCTGTGTAATTTTACATATTAGGGAGAGAGAAAGAATTAACAGAGTTTTCCAAAAAGGGAAGATATGGAATCCCTGAAGTGTTTCATAGTGTCAAAGTGAAAGATATCATCACATGTGGATATTTTATGACTAATTTTGTATATTAATTGACCATTCAGTTTGTGTGCTTGAGTGAGTCTCTTGGAATTATGTGGCTGTATTACTTGATTACTGTATTTTGATAAATTGTAAATTTGCATAAAATTACTACTTTTCTTTGGTTGAGTGATACAGTTGGCTCCAGGTGTTGCATGAGCCAAGTTGAACTCATCATCCCTGTCACCTCACTCTCCAGTCAGGGTAATTTGGATGAGCACTTCCAATACTTCATTGATACTCTTTTGATATATATAGTACAGTAGTACACATTGCTCATTTTGTTTTTATATATGACATAGATTGTTAGTTGTGTATGATAGATAATATGTTTAACACAATTCTTATGATCATAAGTAAACCAATAAGAGTCTCAGTCCTCACAATTGAAAAATATTTCCATAGACTCTCAGTACTGCTTATGTGATTTTGTGCTCATAATTTTTTGGTTCTTGTGACAGCAAACTTTCTTAACACAGGTTTTATTCTGGAGCCAAAATTTTGGCCAAGTGACAATACCCCAGCAGAGAAGGTTTAGCTTGGTCCAGAACCTTAAAATGACAGTAACTATATTATTTCCAAGCTAACCTGGCCCGTAAGACATGCCCCTCTTCTATAAAAATAGCTGATTGGTTCAAAGAAAATATTTGTGTGGCTGTCCATTTATTCAAACTAAATATGTTCACAATTGGTAAGCAGACCTGTTATTGTCTAAAATAATGATAAATAACTGCACTATCAAAATGCAAATGACTTCAAGGCATTAGCACTTCAGAGAGGATGGTAGAAAATTTTAAATATTTATCATTAAAGTTTGAAGTCAAAGATGAAATTCACTTTCGACTGAAGTCTTCATATTTCTTTGTTTTGTACCAAACATAAAGCAAGCAGAAACAAATGATATATCCCAAAATATAGCAAAATAGGTAATGAACTATACTTTGTATGGCTGTATATTTTCCAAATAATTTATATAAGTGATAAAACTCGATATAAGTATGCGCTTATATACTCTCAGAGGAACAGCCGCTGCACTTGAAGGAAATTTCGCACATCTTGACACACAGCACAACAGCCAGCAGACATGAACTCTAAACTGTCAACAGATGTCAACGCTGTGGTACTTAAACAACAAAACATTTCTAACACGCACTAGCAGATTATTAAATACTTTATCCACTAACTTGGCACCTCCTTATCTTAAATACTGCGTTATAACAGGATTTAAGTAATAATAAATGCTGCGAAGTATTAAGAAGCGATGTAGAGCTTTAACAATCTCATCTTCTGTCATCAAGTATCAAGACATTTGGTGCAAATGAACGAAAATCTCAGCCACTGATGGACATGGTATAGTTAATATGTATGTCATAGTATTCTAATGCGAGCTCTACCATACTGGCAGTACAAGTCAAGTGTACAGCTGATCTGTCACTATCAGCTGATAACTCATCAATCTGGCCACAAAGTCCAGTGGCTGTTCCCCTGAGCATTTTACCTCCCCTGGACTGCACATATAAAAGTGTGTACTTATGTCGAGTTTTATCAGTGATATAAATTATTTGGGATATAAACAGCCATACAAACTGTAGTTCTTTTTTTTTTCTTTTGGGGAAGGGTACACCTGGCCACAAGTCATTGACCTATAACGGGGCCTGGGGGGCAAAAAAATAGGAGTAAAAAGAAATTAAAAATAGAAAAGAAAAAGACCATATTAATCTATACCACAAAGATGCTGGAAAACCAGCTTTTTAAAGTGAGACAGATTGTAAGAGTATGGAAACACAGAAGAAAGCAAAGCATTCAACAGTTTGGCTGTGTGAAGAAAGAAGGATGTACTATAATGGGTCATTCTAGTGTGGCCCACAGCCTTGCCGGCGGTACACAGGATTCCAAATCCACCGAACATTGCCCGTTAAAGTACAAGTACTTGTAAAAGAGAGAGAGTGAAGCAACATTGTGGCAAAGAGAAAGGGAAGAAAGATTATCAACAAGAGGAGGAGAGTTAATAAGACGAAGTGCCTGTGATTCCACCCTATCCAACAGAAGAAGAGCCATCCCGGATATGAGAGCAGTACTTCCAAGTTAGGACGAAAGACTCCTTTGTACAGTATACTTGAAACAACTGCTCAGGAGTGAAGTAGCTACGGCATCTGTACAGCTTTCGGGAGGCAGCTTTAGCAATATTGAGGATGTGTGGCTTCTTCCATGACATATTAGAGGAAATGGTGAGGCCTAGCATATCTATTATTGAATTTGACAGAATGATTCATTACCTATTGTGCTATTTTTTGGTATATATATATATATATATATATATATATATATATATATATATATATATATACCAAAAAATAGCACAATAGGTAATGAATCATTCTGTCAAATTCAATAATAGATATGCTAGGCCTCACCATTTCCAGTGTTAGTATTTCCAGTCTATCCAGTGTTAGTATAGGAGGAAACCAGACTCCGGGAAACTTGTGATGTTTGGTTGGGTGACACTGTTCACAATGAATGATAATAACATTAATTTTCTGTGGCCATTGAATCAAATTATTCAATATGGGTTTGGGATCAATGTTAAACTGAGCCCCTTTGATGACATTGCATTGTACAAGTTTCTTAATTATTCTTTATAAAGTTTTCTTTTGCTGTACAAAGTCCTTCCTCTTAATAATTTAGTTCTAAGTTGTTTTAGAATCATTTTTGTTAATATTTGTAATATAGATAGTAGGCTTGGTTAGCAAAGGAATTGTATAAAATTGATAATTACTGTTTTAAATGGAAAGGCAGAGTAATGTACAGGATATAAAATGGCTTATTACTAATATTTTCAACTGTTATGCCAATATGGAAATGCTCAGTGTTAACTGATGTTACTACTGTATTTTTAAAAATTGAATATCCTTTGTATTTTTTTTTATAAATTGAAAAATTTGAGTAGTCACTTTAGGAAAGATTCCAGAGAGATTAGAGCGCCTGCTGCTGCCTAGCTTATACTACAGACAGACAAGGGTGACCTACCGGTAATTGAGGTGTATAAACATCTCAAAGGGCACTACTCGGTTGAGTATCCATACATACCTGGAGCTGGCGGACGCCCGCCCCACAAGGGGTCACAACTCGGGGTTGAGGAAGCCACAAGTTCAGAAAACTGTGAGGGCAAACTTTTTCTGAGTGAGAATTGTGAATTCTTGGAACAATCTGCCAGAGAGTGTTGTGACGACACCGTGTTTGAGCTCTTTGAAGACCAGATTTGACCAACACTGGAGCAGGTTCAGATACATTCAAGAGCCAGTGCCTGCCCAGTACTTGCACCAACAGTGCATATCAGAGATATGACTGACTGCCTAAGCGGATAACGAGCTGCTCAATGGCGAAGAGGATAAAAGTAAAAGTACACTGATACCAATTGTTGGGAAATTACCGAAGACTGGTGGGACAGCTAATGGTAATTGGATGGCACTTGTGATATATCTACTGTTTCTGCACCTGGCCATTGGTGACCAACGGTGGAAGCTGGTAAGCATAGAAAGGAGTTCGTAACAATATTATAAAATTTCTGTTTAAATTGGTGTCCAAATATTTCTTGTTTCACCAAGACATAGGATCCTGTGTATTACATCATCTTAGAAATATTGTTAATGTATTGAGGAGGATTGTTTCCAGTCACAAAGATTGGAAACTTTTTCTGTAGAAACCAATAGTTTTCTAAGTTTGTGCAGTACAGAGTATTTGGCATACATTACATGAACTACATTAACAGTTGTGGTCACTCATATTCTGTACAGTAGCTATTATTATACTGCATCGTAAAACTTGTGTTGTTTTAGGCTAGTTATGCAGTACTGTACTTTAACTGATCATTAGTGGTGCTTTTCTCCCATTACCATAAAATTTACAAAATCTTATGTATATTCTTTTGTTGGTACAGTACTCTCATAGCTGTTGATGGACAAACCAGGTGTATTAAAAAACATTAATGTCTGGTCAAATGGGCCCCAGTGTGAATGTTAGTAGATCATAACCTAAACTCTGAGAATGTAACCCAGTCCTAATGGTTCTAACTCCTCACAGTTAGTTTAGGTTGAAGATTATTGGGAATGGGGCCCATTTGACCTACTACCTAAATAGGATACTTAGAGAGACAAGTTTTTACATGTTAAATGTCTCATTTACTATTTTTATTTTGAAAGGTGTATTATAGGTAAGATAGACAGAGTACAGTAATGTGATAATATCCATATAGTATGTAAATCTCTCTCCATATGTTATTACTATTTTTGTTGTATGTAAATATGCTGGCTTGTACAATGCGTAAGTTCACACCAATATTTTGTAGAAGATTTATCATTATAGTGTGTTTTTTCCCAGCTGAGAAGAGATGCCCCACCCTCTCTTCAAGAGTTATAACTGATTGGCTATTGCAAATCTGTCCGATTTCATCCCGAAGTAATGATACATGTCTAGGTGAGTTTATTCATAATTGTTGGGATGACTGTTTCTGATAAGAAAGATATTTAGGTAAAGTATATTAAGATACATACATTCATTATTTCTTGTCAGAGACGGTCATCCCAACAATTATGAATAAACTCACCTAGACATGTATCATTACTTCGGGATGAAATCGGACAGATTTGCAACAGCCAATCAGTTGTAACTCCTGAGGAGGTGGCAAGGACATCTCATTTCAGCTGGGAAAAATTGCACTATAGTAGTTGTAGTATCTTGTCCTATTTGAAAAATATTTTGAACTATAGTCCCTTCCTTCCTTCCTTCCTTCCTTCCTTCCTTACATACAGGTATCCCCAGTTTACAATAGGGTTGTATTCCTGAAAACCCTAACATAAAATCAAACTACAGTTGGGTCTTCATTTACGCGGTCAATTGAACCCGTGGAGTAGCACGTAAAACGAGAAACGCGTAGATGAAATAACAGAACATATGGGATTAATTGAAATAGAGACTGGGCCGACCCCCAAACTCCACTTTTTCTGACACAATACGTACGTTGTAGTAAAAATAGTATCTTAACTTTATGATGGTATGCACACACACATAATATAGAAGAGAAATATCAATAAGAGAATACTATACTATACCAGGTAAAAGAAAAATCAAGGTTTAACACTTACGTTAGGTTAGAAAAAATCAAGGTTTAACACTTACGTAAGGTTAGGTTAGAAAAAATCAAGGTTTAACACTTATGTTAGGTTAGGTTAGGTTAGAAAAAATCAAGGTTGGATAAGGTTTAACACTTACGTTAGTAGAAGAGATGGGTCGGCGTACGTTGATGGGGGCTGGTTCCGAGGCAGAGGGCAGATTACTGGCCCTCAGGTGAATCACCATCACTATCCACCATAGTTGTCAGGGCCTCCCTGACAAATCCCTCAAAGTCCATAGTGTCACTGTCACTATCACTGGCTGTGGTGGGTTGCGGGCGAAGAAGTCCGTGCTGTTACGCTGACGGCTAGTGTTGATGTTGTCGTGATATATCTGGATGTACGGCTCCATAGTCAGCAACAGCTGGTTATTGAAGACTTCATAGCGGTGATCGTCAGGGTCGTTGGAAAGGACGAGCTTGAGTTTCTCTGCAAACTCGATGGCAAGTTTATCTTCATAACTATCGTTAGCATGGAGTTTGCCTAATGTAATTATCATTAAAGTGGAATGTAATAAAACAGATG